CAGAGGACTCAGAAAAGTCAGGATCAGACCTCAGATACACTGGGTGAGGGGCAGGAAGCAGGGCCTGAGAGAGCAAGTCCCCATGGGTCCCAGAGCCACTGCAGGGCCAATGGGAACCACTGCTCAGTTCCTTCAGGCTGGTCTCCCCTCTAATTGTCCCTGAGAGACTGCACCCCTAGGTGTCCCTGAGAGAAGGGAGGGCGTCACTGGATCTGAAAAGCCAGGCGGACTCAGTCTCCTGGCCCACAGGAGGGGGGTCTGACACTGACCCTGTGTCCTGTCTCCTTGTGGAGCCCCAGCCCCAGGGGAGAGGAGGGAGGCCCAGGCCCCGGGTACCTGTGCGTTTCAGAGTCTCCTTCCCCATCGTCAGGTATCTGCTGAGCAACTCCAGGCAGTCATCCTGCAGGTAGTGTCTCCTTTCCTCGGCCTCACCATTTTCCTCCCACTTGCGCTGGGTGATCTGAGCAGCCATGTCGGCTGCGGTCCAGGAGCTCAGGTCCTGGTTCAGGGCGATGTAGTCGGTGCCATCGTAAGCGTACTGGTGGTACCCGCGGAGGAGGCGGCCGTCTGGTCCCATGTCACAGCCAAACAGCAACTGGAGGGTGTGAGACCCTGACCCCGCCCGGATGTCAGTCCCTTCCCCTTAGCCCCGCCCCACCCTCAGAGATGGAACCTAAACTGAAAGTGAAACCCGATCAAATCCCCGCGGGCTCCTCCCGGGTGTGTGTATGGGGGGAGGGGGGTGAAACTCGAACTCGGACACTTGGGGTGACCCCGGCCCGTCCGTGGGGATGAGGGTCGTGGCCGGGTCCCGAACCCGCCTGGCTCACCGTCCTCGCTCTGGTTGTAGTAGCCGCGCAGGTTGTGAAGGTTCCTTCGGAAAGTCTGTGCGGAGTCCTTGGCGTTCCGGGTGCTCCTGTCCCAATAGCCCGGCTCCACCTGCTCCATCCACGGCGCCCGCGGCTCCGCTCTCGGCCCCTCGGAGTCGCTGTCGAACCGCTCGATCTGCGTGTCGTCCACGTAGCCCACGATGACGAAGCGGGGTCTTGGCTGGTCCGGCCGGGACAGGGCGGTGTAGAAATATCTCAGGGAGTGAGGGCCTGGGGGCCGGGAAAGGGGGACAGGACGGAGATGAGAGGGGTCAGGACGGGGTGGGGTCTGGGGTGTGGTGGAGACGCCCTTTCCCGGGGTTCCCCCCGCCAGGTCCCCTAACTGCTTCCCCGCAGAGGCCGGTCCCTCCTGATCCCGCACTCACCCGCCCAGGTCTCCGTCATGGCCAGGGGCACCCAGAGCAGCAGGAGGAGGGCTTGGGACCTCATGACCGGCATCCTGGCATCCTTCTGGTCTGGGGAGTCTGTGAGTCCGCGTCCTCGGGAGTCCGCGTCCTCGGGAGTCCGAGTCCTCGGGAGTCCGAGAACTGGGGAGTCCGAGAACTGGTGAGTCCGCAGAGACTTCTAACTGGATACGGAAGTGACCCTGATTGGCTTCTGTCGCACCTGACATCCAGTGGGAGTGAGAACTGGGACCGCGTCACGAGTATCCAGGAAGGAAAGCCCCGCACAGGTTGTGAGAGGAGAAATGAAACTGAGGGGGAGGTGGGGACTCCCCAACACTGAGTTTCCCGCTTCAGTCTCCGCCCTCAGGCTGGGCCCTTGAGACCAGGCCTGGGACCTGGGACGTTGCCCTGACCCCTCCCCCTGCACGGAGAGCTCTATCACACCCTCTCCCTCAGTCCTGCCCAGGGGCTGTGTGAGAACCAGGGAGACTCCCCAGGCTGGGACCAGCCCTTTCCTCCCCTTCTCCTCCTGGAACCCCTCCCCCTGGAATGCTCTCTGCCTCCCACCCTCACCTCTGCCCTGGACTCTTCTAGAGGAAAACTCACCCTGGGACCTTGATGCCAGAGAA